GGCTGCTTCCATGTTCTTACCGTGGTAAACAATGCTGCTATGAACATTGGTGTACAAATCTCGGTTTGTGCCTCAGTTCTCATATTCTCAGGGTATATTCCAAGTAGTGAAACAGCTGGGTCATATGGAATTTATATGTTTAGCTTTTTGAGGAAGCGCCAACCTGCCTTCCAGAATGGTTGCACCATTTTACAATCCCACCAACAGTGTATAAGAGTTCCTTTCTTGCCACATCCTCTCCAACATCTATTACTTGCTGCCCTGTTAAACTTTGCCAATGTTACTGGAGTGAGGTGGTACCTCATTGTGGTTTTGATTTGCATCTCTCTTATGGCCAGTAATTTGGAGCATTTCTTCATACGTCTGTTTGCCATTCTAACATCTTCCTCTGTGAAAGATGTCTTTAAGCATGCCTTTTTAAAAGAACTCTCATGAGGTGCCAGTCCTTAGAAAAAGATACCACGCTGGGTCAAGTAGAAGGTCAGCAAAGGAGAGGAAGACCCTCAGTGGTGGATTGAAGTGGCTAAACAACGGGCTTGAGCGCGGCAGCTGTCATGAGATGGCACAGGCCAGGGCCAGCTTTCCATCTGCTGTGCATGTGTTCACTGTTCTATAGAAGAAGGCTGATCCTCAGATAGATTCTGTTAAAGCTGAGTGGAGCTAAGGTGATTGTCTGTTTTCCATTAACTACTCCCCCTCCTTGTGACCCTGATGTCACTGTTTGGAGTGTCCGAGGGTATCGTGCTGCTCTCCCTCCTCCTGCCTTTGTCACACGGTTTTATATTACCTAACTCACAAGAGTCTAACGTTGAGTTCCCTCACCCTTTACGCTCATCTTCCCTAAGGGGCAGGGATGCGGCACTCAGGCCTGTCCAGGCGGCCGGCCACCTCTGGTTGTAGAGGTGTTCATTTTTTAATATTTACATTTTCCCTTTCTCCAAAACAATAAAACAAGTTCTTTAAAACAAGACTCCATGGTATTTAGGTCTCCCCATGAACACATACACTGAGGGACTTTCCCTCCTCGGTTTGAAGCAGAACCATCTATAAGAGTCCTAGTCGACTGAATGGCACTTAGCAACATCAACAGGCATACTTAAACCAAATGCCAAGCCAAACCTACTGCTATTAGGTAAATTCTAATTCACAGCCAACCTCTAGGACAGAGTAGAACTGCCTCAAAGAATTTTTAAAGCTATAATCTTCACTTGAGGGAGCTCTGGTGGCCTGGTCCTAAGGAGCTGTGCTACCAACCCTAAGGCACGGAGTTGGAATCCCCCGGCTGCTCTGCAGAGAAGAGATGGGCAATCTCCCATGTGTTTTACTGCCTCTGAAAACCTGCTGGAGGGTCAGCTGTGAGTCAGTTCTGACTCAATGGTGCATAACGCCGCCGCCACAACCTCTCCACGCAGGCTGCCATATCTCTCTCCTGCAGAGTGACTAGTGGGTTCCATATGCTGACTTTTGAGTTAGTAGTCGAATACTTTAATCACTGCACAACAGGGCTCCCTGTGTATACCAAAAATCCAACCCACAGCAGTGGATCCTACAGGATAGCTAGTGGATTTGAACGTCCAAATTTTTGGTAAGATGTCCAATATGTTACAATATGTCACCAGGGACACTTAGTGCTTAATTAACCATAGTGCTCAGTAACACAGCAATGGGAAAACAGTCACTGCATCTGTTCTCTAGTAGCTTCTATTCCAGTGATACAGGAAGAGGGGAAAATATCTACAATGAAGAAAACAAAAGAGGAAATGGCACCCTGGCCCTGAAGCATCCCCTTCTCTCCTTTCTGGCTTCAGTGCTGAAAAAGAATTCCAGGTCTCTGAGATGGGCTGGGAGGAGGGATGCACACACTCTACAAAATGAAACACAGGCTAGAATTACAGAGGCTCAGCTCCCCCTCAACCCCATCTATCCTTGCAAGTGACCTCCACAACCCTCTGAAGTAAAATGAGGGTGACTGGGGTAGTGATCATATCCGCCACCTCCTCTAGTGGGAAGCTCAGGAGATCTAGAAATGGTAAAAACAGTTTGGAATCAAAATAATGTTCTACTCATAATGAGATCATAAAGGGTGAGTGGGCAAGCAGAAGAGAGAGAGGAGGTTAAAAGACAAGACAGGTCCAAGCTGGGCCTCTTGGCTTCAGGATCACATGAATTATCTGCTAAATGTTTCAGGTGCTGTGTATGGGACTGACAGCAAAGAATTGCAATTTTTAAAAATCCCTTTTGCTGCACTGTGGAGGAATGGATTGGAATGGAGGGGAGTGAGACCCCGCTAAAAGGCTCTGACCTATCTCATTCAGAGAGATGGCAGTGGCTTAGGTTTGAGCAGTAGCTATGGAAACAGTAGGGGCCAGATATATTTCGTAAGCAGAACTAACAAACCGTCTAATGGTCTGCATTCGAGAAGGTACGTGCTGGGAACCTGCAGTATTTGCTGGGGTCTTGCTTTTCTTGCCACTGCAGCTTCTTAGGCAAGAGGGAAACGAGAAGTAGAGCACTGTCCTTCTCTTTTAGATTAGTCAATTCTGCACACACATCCACCCATTTAAGAACTACTTAGGCACCCTGACTGGATCGAAGAAACAATCACAAAGCAGCAATTATGAGGATGGTGCAAGCGTGGACAGAATTTTGTTCTGTTGCATATGGGATTGCTATGAGTTGGAGCCACCTGACAGCCAAACCACCATCAACAAGGCACTTTTTCAGATGCTGGGAATATAGCACTCTATTCCCAAGACTCAAGACAGGCATACTCTGGAGATATTTTGGGTTCTGGATGACCCCAGTCAAGTACATTTCACAGACACCACTCTATAAATGCATCAACTCTCCTTCAGTCTTCCCTTATTCATTGTCTGACTTTCACATGCACATGAACCATTTGAAAATACTGTGCCTTGGGTCAGGAACATCTTGGTCACTAAAGTGACATCATTGCTCATTATCGCTTTACAGACATCTTTGGCAGTAGATTTGCCCAATGCAATACATAATTTGATTTCGTGACTGAAATTCCCAAGGACATTGATTGTACATCCAGGGATGTCAAGGAAGCAATCACTGACAACTTCATTCTCTTCTCCATCTATCATGATGTTGCTTATTGGTCCAGTGGTGAGGATTTTTGTTTTCTTGGTGTTGTAGTGTAATCCACACTAAAGGCACTAGTCTTCACGTTTCATCAGGAAGTGCTTCAAGTCTTCCTCACTTTTTCAAGCAAAGTTATGTCATCTGCATATCTCTGGTTGTAAAGAAATCTTCCCCCACTTCTGATACTATATTTTCCATATAATTCTGCTTCTCAGATTAATTTTTAAGCATACGGATAAAAAAATAAGATGAAAGAATACAGTTCACTCTTTTCATGATTTTACACTATGCAACTTCTGTTCAATCAATTGTTTCTTGCTCTGTCTACATGTTCTGCATGAACACAGTGAAGTGTTGTGGAATTGTCATTCCTTGAAATTTTACCCATAATTTATCATGCTTTATGCAATGGAATGCCTACTTGACTTATTAGAGCACAGGACAGAATTTTGTCCAACCAATGACTTATTGCAATTAATAAAAATATCTTTTAAAAAACCACAACAATATAAAAGATGACTATACACATGATTTCACATGAGCACAATTAAGTCTTCTGGGATTTCTATACTTCTCAATGTTAGCCGTAATTTGTTATGAACCACACAGTCAAATGGCTTTGCATAGTCAATAAAGCACAAATAGACATTCTTCTGGTATTCTCTACTAGATATTGTTACAGACATTTCTAAGTTACCTTCAGCAGTATTTTGTTTATTAATGATATTGTTTGATATTTTCCACATTCTGTTAGATCACCTTTCTTAGAAATGGGGACAAATGTGGATCTGTTCCAGTCAGGGACCTCTCCAGAGTGCTAAAGAACAATGATGCCAGTTTGAAGACTAAGGTGCGCCTAATTCAGGTTATGATCTCCCCAGTCACCTGCGACACATCAGAGAGCTGGACACTAATCAAGTATGACAGCAGAAGAATTGATGCCTTTGAGTTGTAGTACTGGAGAAGAGTACCAAATATCCCCATGGACTTTCCAGAGAACAAACAGATATGTCTTGGAGAGGGTTCAGCAGAGTGCTCCTTGGAGGCACAGATGGTAAAACTTCACCTTCCATACTTTGGACATTAGCTAGGCGAGGCTTTTCATTGGAGAGGGACACCATGCTTGGAAAGATGTGGGGGTCAGCCAAGAAGAGGAAGACCCCAAGGAGATGGATCAATACAGTGACTTCAGCAATGGGCTTGAGTGGTTTGGAGATGGAGGATGGCATAGTATAGAACAGCGTTCAGGCTGGCTGTAAATAGTGTTGTTATGAGTCATACTTGACAGCACCTATCAACAGTATGTATGGGCTTAAGTGTATCCTACTTAAATTTAGAATAATCTTCATCAACATTGAACACAATGACCAAAGACCAAATGAGTTGCAAGATGACATTAAGGGCATTAAAGAGACAGGAAAGAAGGAAAAGACCAAAAGGGTGTGAGAAGAGACTCTGAAACCTGCTTTTGAATGTAGAAACCAAACCCATTGCCAACAAGTTGATTCTGACTCCCAGAAACCCTCCATCAGGTTTCTGAGGCTGTAAATCTTTGAGGGAGAAGATGGTCCACTTTTCTCCCAGGCGAATTAAAGAAATGATGAAGTAAGAGAGCCAAGCAGAGGACTTCAAAGGGCATCTCAAGAAGACAAGGTATTATAACAAAATGCTCAAAGACCTGAAGATAGAAAATAAAAAAGGAAGAGCACAGATAACCTCTCTCAAGCCGAAAGAACGGAAGAACAGACTTATGCCTTGAGTGGCGAAGGTGAAGGATTCTATGGGCAGAATGTTGAATGACGAAGGCGGCATCACAAGAAGAGGGAAAGAATACACAGGAAGTCTTAAAAGTAAACCAAACCATCATTACTTCCAAACATAGCCATAGCGCCATGAAGAAGCACCTGTGTGAGGATGTCTGTTCAAACAACATAGTCAAGGGCCATCTCCTTCCCACTCATGGCCTTGGGAAGCTTCCCAAATGTGCATAGGAGGAAGATTATTAAAGCAGTTCTTTTAAGAAGACTTTTTAATTACAAAACTATCATATCACATCATCTCTGGCTCGCTGAGTTTAGGGAAATATTTGGAGAAAGTGTTTGTGAGCCTTAGGAGCAAGGCTGGAACATAACTGCATATTATTACCCGTTGTGAGGGTCGTGCTGCCCAGATTAACTAACGCTCAGTGGGCTGACAATCAGAAACCTGCTTCCAATCTGGGGGGCTCCCCAGCTGCTAACCTCCTCCTTTATTCCTGGAGAGAATGGAAATTAGCCTCCTGTGCCCACTGCTCTAGCTTTTAGGGACCACTTAGCATATCAAAGCCCATTTGTGGACCAGCCTAACCCAATTAGGTAGACAGAGTTCTGGGAAGAGCCAACAGCTGCTAGCTAGACAAGTAATCACAAAGCACAGCCCATCGGAGCAGCAGCTGCTAGACAGACACACTTGTTTCTCAAAAGAAGGCAGCTCGGAGGCAGTTTAAGGGAAGAGTCTCTGGAGGCCAGGTTCTGTCAAAGCATAACGTGAGATGAGGACTTGAAGATCAGTTCTTAAGTCCCTGGATGCTCTGTCTCTGCCTCTTCAAGTATATGAAAATGAGCCTTGGTGGCAATGTGACATCATCATTCATCAACTAAAAAAAGGTTGGTGGTTCGATACTACCAACTGCTCCATAGGAGAAAGATGAGGCTGTTGTTATGTGCCGTTGAATTGGAACTGACTCCTAGCCGACCCTCCAGGAGATTTTCAGAGGCCAAAAATCATGCAGGAGGAAATTGCCCATCTTTCTCCCATGGAGCAGCTGGTGGATTTGAACTGTGTGCCTTTGGGTAGGCAGTAAATACCTTTGTACTCTGCTCCTGTAAAGGTTCACAGCCTTGGAAACTACATGGGCAGTTCCCCAGTGTCCCCGAGCCAGACTTGACTTGATGTTTGTGGGCTTCGTTTTTGGTTTGTGTTGGGTTGGGTATCTTAGTAGCATTCCGGTCTGCTTCAACAGGTCTAGAGTGGGTCCTGAGAACTTGTGTTCCTAACCAGCTCCGGGGTCAGGCCCACTAGCTCCGGGGTCAGGCCCACACTGTGGGTCCACAGACCACACCTGGACCAGCAGGGCTTTGCACCAGTGATTCTCAAAGTGTGGCCCCCAGAATAGCAGCAGAGGCCATCTCCTGGGTGCCCCTTAAAGACTCCAATTCCAGGGCTCCACCTCCACTCTGCTGGAGCCGACTCTTTGGGGCTAAGCCCAGGAATCTGGGTTTGAACAAGCCCCGTGGAGGATCCTAATGTGTGTTGACATTTGAGAGGTAGGATAGTCTGTAACATGTCGGGCTGACCAAAAAGTCTCCTGCTTCTGGCAGCTTGAATCCACCAGTGGCTCTGAGGGAGAAAGATAAACTCTTCCTGTTAAGATCTGTTGTTGTGTATCATTGAGTCAGAACTGACCCATAGTGGACCCTCCAGCAGGTTTTTAGAGGCTGTAAATTGCACTGGGCTGTGTTAATGTTAAACCCATATACAGACAAAGAGGCAGTTGTTCAGACGGAATAAGAAGATGCTGCATGGCTTAAAATCAGGACAGGTACACATCACGGTTCCATCCTTTCACACACCTCATCAGTCAACAAGGGAAGCAAGTGATTCAAGAAGGCGGACTATCAGAAGAAGAATGTGACATCACCAGAGGCATCAATTCATCAACAACCTGTGTTACACATATGCCACACCCTTGCTTGCTAAAAGCTAAGACCATTTACATAGTTACTGATGGAGACAAAAAAACCTACAGCTTTCAGTATGAATTATAATTCACTATGAGGAAACATAGCCTTAGTTTGCTTGGCACCACAGTCAACAGTCTTGGCACCAGCAGCCAGGAAATTAAAAGGCGCATTGCCATGGGAAAGTCTGCTGTTAGGGACCTCTCCAAAGTACTGAAGAGCAATGGTGTTTCTCTGGAGACTAAGGTGCGCCTGATACAGGCCATGGTCTTCGCAATCACTTGTTATGCATCAGAGAGTTGGGCAATGACCAAGGAGGATAGAAGGAGAATTGATGCCTTTGAGCTGTGGTGCTGGAGAAGAGTATTGCGAATACCATGGACTGCTAGGAAAACAAACAGATTTGTCCTGGAAAGGGTTAAACGAGGTGGCTCCTTGGAGGCAAGGATTCTGAGGCTCTGTCTGACATACTTTGGACATGTTGTGAGGAGAGACCGGTCCTTAGAGAAGGACATCATGCTTGGGAGGGTGGAGGGACAGCGCAGGAGGGGAAGGCCCTCTATGAGGTGGATTGATTCAGTGACTGGGGTAATCGGGATGGGAGTGTCAGAGACAGTGCGATTGGCACAGAACAGAGAGGAGTTTAGGGCTGTTGTACATAGGGTCGCTATGAGTCGCAAGCGACTGGACGGCACATAACAACAACAACAACATGAGGAAACAAAATTCTTCACAACTGCATCAAGATAGGAAAAAGAGTGTAGCTGTTAATCATTGCATTTAGTTGAAGTCACAGTCAATACCTGTGGTAGTCCAGAAATCACACATGGGAAACTCTGCTACAAGTCTTCTTTAAAATGTTGAAAAGCAAAAAGGTCCTATTTGAGGACTAAAGGGCACCTGACCTACAGCAGTATACTTTCAATTACCTCATAAGCTTGTGAGAGCCGGATGATGAGTAAGGAAGGCCAAAGAAGAATTGATGTCTTTGAATTATTATGTTGGTGAAGAATATTGAATATACCACGGAGAACAAGCCAATTTGCCCTGGAAGAAGTACAGCCAGAAAGCACCCTAAAAATGATGAAGGGGAAACATTGTCTCATATACTTTGAGCAGGTTCTCAGGGGAACTGGTCCCTGGAGAAGGACATCATGCTTGGTCAACAAAAAAGGAAGAGCCTCAACTAGATGGACTCACATGGTGTTCGCAATCATGGACTCAAGGGGAGGGAAATGGTAACAATCTCAGTGGGTTCCGAGAAGCCAGTGAGGCTATCCAGCTACAGTGGATACAGCACTACGCCTACAATGCCCTCAGGAATGAGTTGTTATTGTTGATAAGGCCCTGTTGCAATCACCATTATCATTACACAAGAATGAGGCCTGTAAACCCAGCCAACTTTGGCAGGGGGTGAGAAGAAGGGATATTAGCAACCCTAAAACCTGCGTGGTGCAGAGAACACTCTTAGGAATATGTTCTTACCCATTGTAAAGAGATTTGCATTTTAATTGCTCTACAAGTACAGAGGACCTCATGTTACAGAAACTATAAATATCTCATTTCTCCTGGGGCTACATGAATTAACCTAGTTGGCTCCCCAGCATATAATTTGCAGGACAAAATGATGCTTTTAAGTAGGAGGAAAGACAAACAACATTATCAGAAGCAATTTCTGCTTTGGACTCCAAACAACATTATCAAAAACATTTTCTGCTTAGGACTCCGTGCCCTGAGAGTGAGCGCATCTGTATTCTGAATGACAGAGCTGGGAGGAAGTACGCACAGCCTCTTCCCAGAAGGATGACTCACCACATAGATGAATGTCCCCGCAAGCAGGCTGACAAGGACAGCATCCACGGAGGGTCTTTGTCGGAATAGCTTTTATGTGCTATGTATTTTGCTCTTATGTGGATGACGGTGAAACAAGTTTTAATGCATGCACAAGAGTGTAAAAAAGTAAAATAATTGTTCAGCAGATGCTGTGTACATGACATCGTGCATGTGTGTACAGAGTGTGTGTGTATGTGTGTGTGTGTGTGTGTGTGTGTGTGTGTGTGTGTGTTTCAATGGTTATATCCATGGATGAGTTGTCATCTGTGGCTATCAAGTCAGCTTAAGAGGCATGGCGAGCCCGTGTATGACAATACAGTGTTGCCCAATACTGTGCCATCATCACTGCCATTGGTATATTTGAGTTGACTGTTTTCTTTGACTAGAGTGTCACTCCACTTTATGACCAGTTCCTCTCAGTTTTTTGCTGACCCTTGACCATCTCATGCTTTGGCAATTTCCAGCCAAGTTTCCTTGATGCATGCTTTATACATTCCATCTTCTGATTATTAAACGGACATCTGCAGCTGTTTCTTCTCATTTGGAGCCATGCCACCTCAGCCAATGAGGGTCTCCAAAGCTCTGGTCCATCATCAAAGTTCATATCATCAACGCTGGCTCCACTTTGAGAGGGTAACTCCTCCCCAGCTGTGTCCCCCGTGTCTTGCAACTGGAAGGGACCACTTTTTGGCATTCTATGAGTGTCCTGACGTTCTCCAGAATATTGTCACTGGCCATTTGTTTTCCTGTGTAGATCATCAGGCTCCTCCTCCAAGTCCGTCCACGTCTGGACACTCTGCTGAAAGCTGTCCACCTCAGGTGACCCTGCTGTCTCTGATACACCAATGGCACAGATTGCAGCATCACAGCCGCCTACAAGCCTCACAACAGCCAACTGACAAAATGCTAATAAACAAGAAAAGTTGTGTTGGATGAAGTCCAGCCAGAATATTCCTTAGGAATGAGGATAGTGAGATTATCAGGACGGACAAGTTTCTGGGGAAAGACACCAATCTTGTTAAAGTAGATGATCAGAGAAAAAGAGGACCCTCATCAAGATGCACCAGTACACGCCTGCAAGAATGTGCGCAGACGTAACAACACTTGTGAGCATTGTACCAGACTAGATGGGTTTTCCTCCCATTGTATGTAGGGTCCCTGTGAGTCAGAACTGACTTGACAGCTCCTAACAACTACTGCTACGGAGCTCTGGTGGCCTAGTGGCAAGAAGCTGCGCTGCAATTCTGAAGGCATGCAGTTCAAGGCCACAAGCTGTTCTGTGGGAGAAGGATGGGCATTCTCCTCCCGTACAATTAACTGCCCCTGAAAACCTGTTGGAGGGTCAGTTATGGGTTCAACTCTATGGTACCCAACAACAACAACAACTACTACTACTACTACACCAACCATGTTGGTTTCCCCCAGCAATTGGTCCTTTTTTAAAAAATGTCCAAAGTGAGCCAGGTCTTAATGCCTTGGACCTGGGTCTCTGCAGCTGGATTTTTCTCTTCCTTCTTCCTTCCTTTTCCCTTTCCTATTTGAGATTGGCATCGAGGGGGTCGAGTTCGGGTGGCGGCGCTGGGTGCAACGCAGGGGTCACGGCGACGACAGGTGACAGCTGGAAGAGCAGGCTTCCTTCGCCGCTGGTCCTCCTTTCCCGGTCCGTTCGGTGTCAGGCGCGGCGGCGGCGGCGGCGCGGCTGCCGGACTTCGTCCTTACTCCTGCTCCCCCCGGCGCCCAAGCGGGCACTCTTCCCTTCGCTGTCCCCCGACCCTGCACTCCGGGGACTGGGCGCCTCCCCCGGCTCACCTCAGGGAGCGGAGGCCGGTCTCCTGCTTGTCTGTCGCGCCTCCATGTCGGATAACCAGAGCTGGAACTCGTCGGGCTCCGAGGAGGATCTGGAGACGGAGTCCGGGCCGCCTGTGGAGCGCTGCGGAATCCTGAGCAAGTGGACAAACTACATCCATGGGTGGCAGGATCGTTGGGTCGTTTTGAAAAACAATACTCTAAGTTATTACAAATCTGAAGATGAAACAGAATATGGCTGCAGGGGCTCTATCTGTCTTAGCAAAGCTGTCATCACGGTCTTCTAGCTTGAGAAATACCAAGCGATAATATGCAATAAAGATAGCATTTCAAACCAGTACGGAAAAGTTTATTTACAGAATTCTAATACAAGTGAATCATTATCATTCAAATATATGCACCAACAACTAGAGCGAAAGAAGAGGAAATAGATGATTTCTACCAACTTTTGCAATCAGAGATCGATTGAACATGCAACCAAGATACATTAATAGTGATGGATGACTGGAATATGGAAGTTGGGAACAGAGAAGAAGGATCAGTAGTTGGAAACCATGGACGTGGTGAAAGAAATTAAGCTGGCGATAGGATGATGGAATTTTGCACAATCAGCAATTTATTTTTTGCAAATACATTTTACAAGAAACATAGATGCAGGCTACACACATGGATCTCAACTGATGGTATGCATAGGCCTCAGATAGATTACATCTGTGGAAAGAACCATTGGAGAAGCTCAATATGAGCTGTGAAAACTAGCCCTGGTGCTGATTATGGAATAAATCACCAACTATTCATATGCAAGTTTAAGCTGAAGCTAAGGAAAGTAAAATATGACCTTGAGTCTGTCCCACCTGAATTTCAGAATCATCTCAGGAACAGGTTTGAGGCCTTGAACACTAGTGAGCGAAGACCAGATGAGTTGTAGGAGGATATCAAGAATATCATCCAGGAAGAGTGTTGCAAAGATGGAGGAGGAAAAATAGCCCAAAGTGGATGTCAGTAGAGACTCTGAATATTGCACTGGAGCGTCGAGAAGCCAAAGCAGAAGGAAGAAATCAAGACATTAAGGAGCTGAGCAGGAGATTTCAAGAGGCTGTGTGACAAGACAAAGTAAAGTATTATAATGAAATGTGCAAAGAGCTGGAGTCAGAAAATCAAAGAGGCCGAACTTGCTCAGCATTTTTTTAAGAGTTTTATTTTACTAATTTTAATAAACATTTACTGAGATTTTGGATTTCCAAAAAAAAAATATTCTGACTGTATTAATTCTAAGATTGATTTGTTTATACTTTTAGCAATTCCCAAAAATTCAATATCTATTGCCAGTATTTGTGTATTGGAAATGTAGCAAAATTACTGGCAAATGGAGGGTGGCCTGCTCGTTACACTGTCTCATCATCAACAGATAACTTGGAACTCTCAGGAGATACAGGAGCCTCCAATGTACCTTGTACCACTTAGAAGTTGTTGTTCCTGTCAAACAACACAGTTCTGCTTTTCTCTGGCTTCAATCTATCTTTGTGATACATTTCCCCTCCTTTCCTCAGTCCAGCTAAGTCCAGGGTCCCAACACCCCATGTGTCTTTCTTCCTGTCTCCCCTTCCTCCCAGCGTGAACTTCATCTTCATTCCAGCCCATCAGAGCCCTCCTTTGCCCTCAAAGCCCAACGGAAACACTCTCTTATTTCTCTACGGGGCCTACAGAGGTTGGTAAGGAGTGGGCCCTGGCTTACGGGAGGATGAGTTACAATGCCCCTCCTTACTAGGCTGTATAAGCCACGAGCCAAAGAGGTATGTGTTGATGGTGGGTGGCTTCAGGATCCGGATGAGGGCACCCAGGGTGAGTTCTCTGGGAGGACAAGAATCTGTGTTTACTCGGCAGACACTCAGCTGCCCACACCTATGGGAAAATCTCAAGTCACCTTCACAACTAATGTTCACACTGAGACCAGATACTTGCTCATTGGGAAGTACAGTCACTCCAGGACCTGCCACTGAGCCCAAGCCCACATTCACTTAGACTGCCAACTTCCCCACACATTTGTTACTGGTAATTAAACCAATGCAACTGTCCTATTACACAAAGATGACATGACAGTAAAGAGATAGAACGTAACTAATCTTTATCTCATTTGTAAAGGTGCACAGAAATGAAAACCAACAATGGCGTGGAAGCTATGAATAATGCACAGGCATCAGTTTTTGTCAGGCTCAGCTCACAGCCTCCCAACAGATTTAAGGGATCTTAATATGCTAGCATATATCTGCTTTATTGTTACACAATGGAAATTAAGCATGGGTGGAAAACACCATGAATTACTTTGAAAAACCACATTTACAGCATCCAAAAACCTATCCTTAGCATTTACATTTTGTAATCCAGGCTATTCTAGAAGCAGTTGATGTTAAACTTTACCTCAACCCTGTGACGTTAGAAAATAGAAATAGTTCTAAAACCGCCCCCACCCCCACCCTCTATCCTTTCTGCTCAGGAAAATGTTTACTGCAAGTAACCATCATTCTTGTTGTTGTTGTTATGTGCCATTGAGTCGCTTTCGACTCATAGGGACCCTACATACAACAGCCCTAAACCCTGCTCTATCCTGTGCCAATCGCACTGCCCCTGACACCCCATCTTGATTACCCTAGTCACTGAATCCACCCACCTTATAGAGGGTCTTCCCCTCTTGCGCTGTCCCTCCACCCTCCCAAGCATGATGCCCTTCTCCAAGGATTGGTCCCTCCTTGCAACATGCCCAAAATATGTCAGACGAAGCCCCAGAATCCTTGCCTCCAAGGAGTAGCCTGGTTTAACCCTCTCCAGGATGAATCCTGTAAGACTTAGGAAAGACTCTTGCTTACTGGGACAGGGTCAGACACCAAGCCTCTTGGTGATTTGCATTTCACTTTAACTTAGGGTGACTCATATATGTCACTGGAATCATGCTCCAAGAATTTTCAGTGATTGATTTTCAGAAGGAAGCTCTTGTGATATGGTTTAGTAAGGGTTTGTGTTACTAACTCATGGGCCACATCTGTCTGGTGGTTTGAATCCACTATCAGGTCCTCCCATCAGTTTTGACTTAACCTTTCAGAAATAGAACGCCAGCTCTCTCTTCTCTAGTGTTTCTGGTGGATTCAAATCTCTGACATTCCCATTAACTGCTCTGTGAATTATGTTTGTAACCCTATTCCTAACTGGGCCAGACCCAGAACCTTCATATTCTACCACCTTGTCTCATAAATCAGTAACTGGACTGTTTGTTTCCACCAATCAGAGACCAAGTGCTTGTCAAACAAACTTTGGCTAAGCATTTCTGCTTTGTTCAAATCCATGAACTTTGGCCTCCCTACATCTGAGCTGAAAGACTAAAAGAAGAGCCTTGCAGTCCTCGGTCAACTATAATTCACAGTAACCTCTCATGGTGCAGAGAACTCTGTTATCCTTATTCTTTGTCCAAGTATTAAAAGCATACTGTTGTTCTTGGGTTCTGTCCAGCACAACTCATATGTGCTCTATAGACAACATGCCTGAATCCTGTCCTAGCCTGGGCCACCCTCATGGCATCTGATATACTTGAGCTCATTGCTGCAGTGACCATGTCAGTTCATCTCGTTAAGGGTCTTCCTTTCTTTCGGCAACAAAGGCATGCCATCCCTTTCCAAAGGATGGCCTCTCCTAGTAACACGCCCTAAATATGTGAGCCGAAGCCTCGCCATCCTTGCCTCCAAGGAGCACACTAGCTGCACTTTCCTCAAGATACTATCAGTTCATCCAGGGATATAGAGGACTCTTCTCCAACACTACAGTTCAAAGGCAACATCAATTCTTCTTCTGTCATCTTATTCACTGGCCAGCTCTAAGAGTCATAGCAAACGACTGAAAAGACCATAGCCTGATTCAGATGCACCTTGGTCTTCAAAATGACATCCTTGCCCTTTAGCATTTAGGAAAAGTCCTTGACAGTGGACTTGCCCAAAACAATAACTATCCTTATCTTCTGACTGCTGGTACCAAGCAAGTTCAAATCACTGACAGTTTCAATCCTTTCTGCTTCTGTACGATACTGCATATTAGCCTAGTGGTAAGGACTTTTGTTTTCCTGATGTTGAAAAGTGAAGCACACCAAAAAAGCCATTAAAAAAAAATACTGTGGTTTAGATTAGGCACGCCTTAGTCTTTAAACTGATGCCATTGCTCCTCTCAGCACTTTGTAGAGTTCTTTGACAGCAGATTTTTCCAATGAAACAAGTCTTTTGATTTCTTGACTACTGTAACCATAAGCTTTGACTATTTCTTTGGCTGTAATCCTTATGAAAACAAGTTGCCAGGCCTTTCTTCCACTGTACTGTGGTGTGGGTTTAAACCAAGTACAAACTGTGCCGGCCAGGGGCCTCTCTGAGACAACATACAATACCCTTTCCATGGCCCCTCCCAAAGAACAGCATGAGCTCAGAGTAAAACTTTTTTATTCATTTTCTGATGATGGCACTTGCTCATCTTACTCCCCTATCCCTGTATTTTGTCTACCTTTGTTTACTCCTAATCTCAGTAAAATAGAACTCTTTCTCCCTAAAATTTTTGAGAGTATTTTAGATCATATGGTAAGAGTGCTCTTGCTGGTGGTGTATGCTTTGCTTTTAAAACGTCAATGGCAGGTGAGATGCATTGTTTTCACAAACCCCACAACCCTCTTATGGGTTTGTTTCTTAGGTGTGCTGTGTGTGTTACATGAATGCAAACATTGTTTCACATATTTTGTTTGTAACATTAATGGAATGTAATTCCTTATATGCATGTAAACATTACTACATACTTTAATACATACATTCATAGAATGTTACATACAAAAAAACAACCAGTTGTCCACTCCCCAAAATAATCTTATTCCCTTTTCTTTCACAGTAAAATTTCTCCCCACCCAAGTCTTGATTTGTGTTTTATTTGGCAAATAAGTCATAATTTTATTTTCATTTTCAAATAAAATAAAAAAAGATAAAATTTGTGCTTAATCTGACAAGTTTTACTTATCAGGGTTCCAGTCTGTTGTTCTTAGGGTCACTATGAGCCATAGTCGACCCGAGGGCACCTAACAGCAACAATCACCCAGCAATCCTCACAACTGTACGCCGGGGGATTATCACCCTTAATGTAGAAAACCCCATTCCACCTCTAGGCAAGCCTTTCCCTGAGAGCTCCCTCCACGAGCTTTGAGACCCTTCTCCAAGTTGAGGAAGGAGTGGAGGAAACTCACTTTAATACAGCATTACTTCCTTCTTGTGATTGTTAACTGCCCTGGAGTTGGCTCCTGACAGCGGAACCCCCCTCACAACAGAAGGAAACACTGCCTCGTCCTGCGCCATCCCCATGATCCCACCAGTGCGATGCATTGGGTTTTCACTGATCTTTCAGAAGATGATCACCGGGCCTTTCCTCCTAATCCATCTGCTGGAAGCTCTGTTCCGCATCACAGCAAAGTGCAAACCACCAGGGACTGACAGGTGACTGCTCAAAGCCATGCACTGGCTGAAGCCAGGTATGCCCCAGAGAAGCAAGGATTCTCCCAGTGTTAGGAACCAGCTAAGTAAGTGTTCACTGTTATCTTCATGCTTCTCTGCGGCCTCCGCTGCCCTGGCTGCCTCCCCACAGGCAGGATTAATTACTTCCTCACTCCTTACTCCCCAGAGCACTTCTCTTGCATTACAGCTGCCTGCCGGTTGCAAAGCTCTTCCACAGGTTCTCTGAGCTCCCTATGGCTGCTTGGTGTTTACACATCTCTGCCCGCCAGGGCCTAAAGGGGAGGTGCTTCTCAGATAAAGGATCTAGATGGTTGGGCTCCTGATCAGGCCTGTGCTCCATGGAGAGCACTGCCTGTTGAGATGTCTGAGGCTTCGCAGACTGGCGTGAATCATTTGAGAGATTTTCTTCTCTTCAGCACCATTTCCTAGAATTATGTTACTGCTGGAGCTCAGCGTGCAGAAGCTACAGAGACAAGGTATTTCTTCTCCAAGAGACTGGCAATTAACCTTAGAGGCCTGCTGGTGTTCAGGTGGGGAGATGCATATTCCCACACGTGTAGCTGCATGATGCTGTATTGCTAAGCATTTCACATCATGATGCTCCCCGGGCTAAGGCGGTGCGTTTATTCCAGCCTCACCGAATCCATCCATCAAGGCAATGTTTCTGATCTTGAAAGGATCTGCTGTGCTTATAGCCTTGCTATACATACATCAAAGCATCTCAGGGTACAGCTTTGTACATGAAAGTCATTCAAACCTATCCATTATGGAGTAAGGGGAGAATATTAACCATCCCATGGATTGCCAGAAGAGCAAGCAAATCTGTCTTGGTAAAAGCACAGCTAGAATGTTCCTTTTTTTCCCCTTAATAAAAAAAAAAAAAAAGATAAAGTGAGAATGGGGAGACTTCCTCTCTCTCACTTTGGACATGTATCAGGAGAAACCAGTCCTTGGTGAAATACACCAGGCTTATTAGAGGGTCAAGGCAAGAGGAAGACCTTCAAGGAGAAGAACTGAGTGAGTGACTGCAACAATGGGCCCCACCCATCAATGACTGTGATGCAGGAGCAGGCAGTGCTGGGTTCTGTCTACACAGGGTCACTATGAGTCAGCACCAAACAGCAGAACCTATGCTGCACACTTTCTCTTGCTGGGACTATGAGGAGTGTCCTGAACGTTTAAGCATTCCTTTCTCATTCTTTGCGCCTAGGCTTTGGAAGAGGCTCCAGATTGCTTCCAGTCTTTGCTCCATGCTCTTTCCATAGAGGTCTTTCTGAAGACCTTTCGCCTTCTTCCTTCAGGTGGAAGGTCAGCTTCCATTTCACTGTGGCTGTTCTGCTCCACAGCTCCACTCTTCAATGTCCTTTTGTGTCCCACTGAAGCTGCACGGGACACCTCTCTGAACAATCCTCAAACTTGGCTCTCTGTTCTTTCTGCCTGGAGTGTGTCTTCTCCCCACCTCAGCCACCCAGAATCCCACCCTCTCCTCAAATTCCAACTTGAGTTAGCTGCAGCTCAATGGATATAGCCTCCCTCCCTGCCTACACCATTCACAGGTCATGCGATCACGACCCAGTAGTGGATCAGGCACCCAGTAACTCCATGCTGCAGGTCGCTCATCCTCAAAACAGATTATAACCTTAGGAAAAGATGCTGAGGATTCAGAGAAAAGAAGAAGGAGAAAGTAAAATCCCCTGACAATAAGTCTCAGCTCGAGACTCAATCCTTTTTTTTTCATGTTATATTTATTTTCCAGCTTAAACAAACTGGATTAGACTCAGTCCTTTAAACTGCTCTCTCTTCTCTTTCCATCCAGAGCCATCAGTCAGCTGTGAATGACTAAAAGTCTCAGGAGCAATTCTTGACCTCTAAGAAGTCCTAGAGGTCAAGGGTCCAAATCTCAGTCATACACCTATCCTACGTCCAGCACACAGTAGCTAATCTGAAATGGATACTAGTTGGATGGCTAAATTAATCTACCTTCTTCCTACTCACAGGGAGCTCAAGGAGCTTATTGGTAAGGAGCTGCACTCCGTATCCATAGGCATGCTTTACTCAGGAGAAAGATGGAAAATCTATTCCTGTGTGATTGATTGCCTCTGCAAACTTGATGGAGGGTCAGCGATGAGTAGATTCTGACTCAACAGTTCCTATCAGTAACTTCTCATTCACAGTCAGATCCACATAGCTCACAGACGAGGTGCTACAAAGAAATGGTGTGGAAATAAATGGACTGAAGTGAGACTGATCTAACCTGGAACCCTCTAGCTAATGCTTTTACTTACTCATATGAAGTGTAAGGATGGTAATACCCATTGCATGGGGCTCCTCGTACGAGAAACTAGCTGGTATGGCTAAAATGCTCTCATTATCCTTCATAGGAAGACAAAGAAGTGTGATTGGATTTCTCCCCAGCAGAACTGCCCAGGTGACCTTCTGAGCTCAGAAGACCTTAAAGGTCTGAGAAACTGGAGCCCAACTGTCCCAGTGACCTTGGCCCCATTAAGTCTTTCCTTCAACCGCCTGCTTAGCCTCCAAGAAAGCAGGACTTCCACTTTGTCCATGTAACGATTTGATTCATGTGTCTCTCTGCCATTTGATCATGAACTCTAAATGTCTTGTCTTTGTTGGCAATGTGATCTGCATCCAGTGCACAGTTGGTGCTCAGTAAACACGTGCTGATTTCAGAAACCCTGAACAAAAATACCTCAGGCCACAGTGCATGAGGGTGCCAGATTCCTCCTTCCTCACCAGCATTGCATTATAACTTTGTAAAAAAATTTGTGCGTGCTCATCACTTTCAGAATGGTGACCATACCCCTTGCCCTCTTACACAACAAGACGTTGAGCAGAGAGGGTCCCGACACTGTCAAATTGACCCTAGGCCCCGCCCTTCTCCTGAGCTACGTACTAATCCCCGCCCCTCACGTCACCACGCCCCTTCCCTGTCTCGCCCCGCCCCGCTAGCTCCACCCCCTTGCCAGTGCTATTCTGCGCATGCTCACGGGGCACAGCCCCTCTGAAGACACTTAAACAAGTTTGCCAGCAAACTTTGCGGCACTGATGTCACGCGCACACTTTCACCAGGAGCCAGCCAGGTAAAGCCTCCTGGGCCCGGGCACTAGGTGGTCAGTCCCTGGGCCTGGATCGTCACGAGGGCCAGACCTGGCATCCAGGTGACGAGAAGGCTTGCAGGGCCGAGGGTCATGGGCCTGTCTGCTGGAATCTGTGCTGTCTGTCTACCTTCCAGCTCTGTCACCTCGGGCCAGCAGAGTCCCGAGGCCTGTGCACCTTGTCTGGCCAGTGACAGAGCCAGGGAATCTAGATCAGCAGTGGGTTTGTGTCCCTTTCTTGAGGGCTGGGTACGGTCAAGGCCCCGGGGGCCTTGGCCTGAAGCCCCTTACCAGAACCTTGGGCTTCCCGGTTACCTAACTTCTCTGCATATAATCAATCGATTGTGTTTTCAACTTCCTGGGCTTTTGTATTAAACAAAACTATAAAAGTTGCATAAACTGCAGGGTAGAGTCATGCTCGGGACTGGGTAGTTGTTCTCCTTGCTGTCATTAATGTTTTGTGGTTATTAATGCAAGGTCCATCCCCTAACATGAACAGGAAACAAGCTGCAGCCTTTGGCCCTCGTGTCCTCTGCTCCAAAGTCACACTAAGGAGAGCGTTTGTTTTTGTTCCTCATTTACTTTCATCAGCAGCTCTGATTGAAACATAATTACTTCAATCACATTATTAATAAGGAATTTATTAGCTTTGTGGTAGTAGTTGTGAAGCCCACCCAAAGGCATGAGATTTGAGTCCACCAGCTGCTCTGTGAGAAAAAGTTGGCCAGTCTTCTTCCACGTGATTTACAGCCTCTAAAAACCTACTTGAGGGTCAGCAGTGAGTCGGTTCTCAAGCAGAGACTGGCCAGAATAGGGACTTTAACTCAGATTGCTAAAATGTTTGTCTGATATGTTTCCATTTTAGAAACAGCTTGCTTGATGCTGCTAAAGCCCGCTTGAAAAAGCATGATGTGGGAACCAAGTTTTCCTACTTGCTGCCCCAAAAGTGTTCTGTCCTTTTACCGCTGATGGTTAAGGAAGGAAAACTCCATCTGTTATTCACTCTTCGATCAGAGAAGGTAGGTAGACAAGAAGGCTCTGGCCGTCAACCTCTCAAGACAACTGAAAACCACTAAAGTTTGTCACTGGCACACATTTTGAGACCACTGATCTCAAAGGGACTTTCAGAACTTTCAGGGACTCTAATGTTCAAGGAATACAAGAAGCCACAAGAGAACATGACATTTCATTTAGAAAGATCATTATTTTATCACTGTCTTACTGCCATTTAGGGAGAACCAACTCATAGCTGACCCTCCAGTGGACTTCTGAGACTATAAATCCTCTGTGAGGAGAATGCCCATCTAGAGCCACTGGCCGTCATTTAGAACCATCAGAGACGTGACCTTTGGATTATCAGTGTAACTTCCTGTGGACTATGCCATCAGCACTACCTAAGCTAACTTGACTTTTAAACTTCTTTTTGATTAGCATTTCTTTGTGCCGTTTAACTCATAATAGCTCCAACTCCGGACATCTTTGGTAAAGGACCAAAGACTGATAAATTCCAGAGTGAAACCTGAGTATGATTCTTAACCTCAGTTCTGTTAGCAGTTGGGGCCATAGGGGTGGGGGTGTGTTCTGTACATCATAAGATGTTTAGTAGCACCTCTGGCCTTTACCTATATTATCTATCAATAATACCTTCCCCCCACTTATGAGAGTCACAAATATCTTCAAATCTGACCAACTGTTTCATGAGCCAAAATTATCCACACTGAGCATCACTGTTTCAAATTAAGGCCATCCAAAGTGTAATGTATAAAGGTGAACAGCGATTGGCCCAGGAGACTGCCTGCCCATGTGTACATGAAAGCTCTCCCCTTTCTGCCTGTGTGACACTGCCCTAGTTACTTAACCTCTCTGTGCTACAGACTCTTACATTTTATAAAAAGGGGGGTGTGTGTGGATTATCATTCCCTGCTTCTCAGGGCCACTGTGAGGATGACACAGGTTAACAAATGTAAAGCACTTGAAGCAGTCCTGGCACTTGGAAGAATTCCATACACATCAGCAAGCGTTGTAAGTGCCTCGTGGCAGCAGTGGTTTGCAGTGTTTAGATAAACATGCCATTTTAAAGAAACATTGGCTGTGACTGGCTGTGCCTGATAACATGACCTGAGTGTGGGAGACGAAGCCTCACCAGCCATCCTTGTTTCCAAGGAGCATGCGGGCTCTACTTCGTCCGAGACAGATTTGTTTGTTCCTTTGGCAGTTAGAGTTGCATCTGTGTGTCTGCACCATGATTCCCACCACCGAGAAAAGACAAAATTACACATTTGCAGTATGTATACAATAAAGATGGAAGCACGGTATGTGCAAAAGTCTTAAGTGACCACTACCTAGGTTTTGAACACTTAGGTTGGACAGATTGTAGATATAGCCATATAAAAACATACTACGCAGTGTAGACAGACAGGGATTGTATCATTTTAAAAGAAAACACATGTTAACTCTGGAATATTCAAAGTCACATACAAATGTGACACCTTCTACCAGCTGCTCTGTAGAACAAGATTAGACAGTATGCTTCATAAGTATTACAGCCTTGGAAACACTGTGGGTCAGTTCCACTCTGTCCAACAGTCACCACCTATTGGAATCAGTGGCAATATGGATCTCTTTATATATATATATATTTATCTATCTAGGTAACCTAGATAGATATAAAATATCTATAAAGATATCTAAGTAGATAAATACTCAAAATCATTGACAATCAGAGATGCACATCAAAACCACAGTCAGATACCATCTCATACCAGTAGCAGTAGCAAAGTTTAACAAGACAGCAAGCAACAAAGGTTGGAGAGGATGCAGAGAGACTAGAACTCTCGTGCACTTCTGGTGGGATTGTAAAACGGCGCAACCGCTCTGGAAGGCAGTTTGGTGTTTCCTCAAAGAGCCGAACATAGAAATCCCGTATGATCCAGCTATTCTACTGCTAGGAATATACCCCAAGGAGATCAGAACTGAGACACAAATGGAGATTTGTATACCTGCGTTCATAGCTGCGTTATTCACAATAGCAAGAAAATGGAAACAGCCCAAATGCCCATCAGCAAACAAATGGATTGAGAAATCGTGGTATGTTCACACATGGAATACCATGCAGCATTAAGGAACAATGATTTTGTAAAATACTATATAACATGGGAGACTCTAGAGAACATTAGCTGAGTGAACTAATTCAGCCTCCTAAGGGCAAGTGCTGCCTAAGACCATTATTGTAAAAACAGAAGGATAACTGAGCAAGATGCGTATAAATGTTCAAAAGGCAGAAGGGAGAAGGGGCACAAAAAGGGGGAAGGAGGAAATTACTAGAACAGCTGAGGTTAGTGGGCCGATGTGGGGATGAACAATGGGAAAGATTCAATGGGGACTTGAGAAGACGAGGTAATGATAGGTATAGATCAATAAGAATTAATTCTATAAAATTTAATGTATATTAATATATAAAAACAATGCACATGCATGACAACTATATATATATATGAATGATTATATGCAAACCAATAAAAATATGTTAAAAAGATATATAGATACAGATATAGATAAATAGATATCAAATTAGACAAAAAAAAAACGGATCCAGAACGAAGGCTGCATAGTGGAATGGACTTGGGGGGAGACATTGTATAACAATGAAAGAATTTTTCTTTTACTTTTCAAAGAGAAGAGCGAATTAGGGGGAAGGAGTAGGCAGGGAGAAAAGTGCAACATTGGATGAATGGAAATTTTTTAAAAAGACAGTAATAATAGGCATACAGAAATAGTAATTAAGTATATAAAATATAATGTATATTAATGACTATAAAACAAAGTACAGTACAAAACATGATGTCTATGAATGATTATATGTATATTTATTTAAACCAATGAAATTATTAAAAAAATAAATCCATGTAGGAGATTAAACATTGTAGGTGACCTAGACAGGACCTAAACCTCAAGCAATGGGTCTCCAGTCGCTTGTGTTTTCTGTCACCAGAGCCCACTGATGAATAAGAGACACTGAACTGGGGCCATGAATTTGAGTATCAGCCTCTTTAAAAAGATAAAGTAGCCAACTTAATCATCTTGGAAGGCCTTTCTGGCAATGCTGCTGAGAAACTCCCATCTTGGGAAGTCCTGGAGCTGCAGTGCTGAAGAGAGAATTTTAACAGCCATGACAAAGAAGAAAAATATTTAGGATGCTACGAATGGAGATGGAGTCAGTTTTACTGGGGTTAGGAAGAAAGGGAATTGGGGGTGGAATGAGACATTGAAGAAAGGCAGTAACCCTCTTCCTGTACAGACATGCGCAGAGAGACCTCAAGATGCCGACCTGTTCTTCCTCAATGAGGCTGGTGATCCTATTTTGTGTATTTGAAGTAAGCACTTAAGAAATGCAGACTGTGCTACTTAAGAGCACATGTTCTAGCTTCAACCACTGGATTGCACTCCAGCTCTGGTACTTAGCCCTTATATGAACTTGGTCACTTTATTTAACTTCCCTGAACCTTAGTTCCTGCACCTAAAAGTGGGAATAAAAACAGTAGTTCACAGAGCTGTTCTGAGGACTCGGGAAAAGTGTTTGGCGGCAGCCTGCATGAGGCTGGTTGTTGGTAGGTGCCACTGAGTTGGCTATGACGCATATAGACTCTGTGAACATGGTAGACGTTCCACAAAGTTCTCTGTTGCCAGTGTTGCCATTTCATTACCTCTCCATTCCTCCTATCTCCTCATCACTATACATTTGTTTTTCTTTGGATGAAAGTTGACAGGACATATTAATGCTCCATTTGATAATTTATACAGGCCTAGTAACCTCATTTTATTGTGCCTGGTTTTGTTGCATGTTGCAGATACTGTGTTGTCAGGGGTTTGGAGTTGGTTTTTTTTGTTGCTTTTTGTTTTTACAAACTGTGGGTCTGTGGAAGTGCCGCATTGAGCAAGTTGGTGCCATCTTTCTTACAGCATTTGTTCACTCCACGTCCGTGTGTCACATCTTGGCGATTCTCTCCATATTTTAAGCTTTTTCATAAGGCCAAGCTGTGCTGCTCACCCAAAGGCCCAGCCTCAGCCTCTCTGTTGGCCTGAGTCCACCAGAGGTTCCTTGGACGGAAGTTGAGCCTTCTCCTCCTATGTGACTTGCAAACTAAGGGTCACAGTGGGGAGTCAGCTGTGAGTTGGTTCTCATGCCACAAAATAGACGTTCATAGACACTTCTGTTGAATGAATGAGCTTCTAGTTCTGTAATTGGAACCACACATTGTCTGTTTGTTCTTTCAATATCTAGCTGAGAAGATCTCCAGGACAAGTTTGCTTCCCTGGAGGAAAAAGTGAAGCAGGAGACGTGGATGAGGTCGCCACAGCTCTACGGGAAACCCAGGAGGAAATAGGGCTGCTTCCCCATCAAGTGGAGATCATCTGTTGCCTCGTACCACACATTTTTGATGTAAGTGTTGGAGTAGAACTGGGTTTCGCCATGCTTGAAATAGAGCTATAGACTCAGAGAAAGGATACACGGAGCCCCTGAGGGGTGTAAATGGTTAACATACTCAGCTGCTGACCGATACCGACTGTACAGGTCTCCTCAGAGATACCTTAACCAGAGGAACTGTTGAGAACCATACGAGACCCAGTTCTTCTGACACACATGAGGTGACTGTGACCCAGAACTGACTCAGGACAGCTGGCTTCTGGTTGAAGTAAACGTCCTCCTCATTGCATCACATCACATCAGGGGTGGGCATAAACTGACTTCATGTCTTACAACAGTGGGCTAAGAGGTCAGATTTGACCTCAGGAGGAGGTGAGCTGATCCCGAACCATGAACCAAACTGGATTAAGTCCTCCTTTCTGCCTTGCCTTTCAAATGGCATGACACGACGTCGTTCACACCTACAACACTGGGCTCCTTTTAGAAAAACAACAACAGTTGGGCTCCTTTTAGAAAAAGAAAGGACACCACTCATGGGAGGCTTTGTTTAAAAGCAGCAAGTGGTTACTTGCTAAATGAGAGAGAAGAAAAAGGGGACATGAGATTAGTGTGAGAAGTGTGCCAGTTACTTCCTCCTCCATTAAGTTTGATAACTGGGACTCTTTATTTGACTTCTAGAAATTTCCCAGCACGTTTTCAGGATTTTTGAACATTATTAAATCGTTACAGTTAAATGTTCAAGAACAGAGAGTAACTCCTTCCAGAGGCCACTGGTTGCTACTGGGTTTTGCATATGAATGGACAGACTACATCAGTAGTTCCAGAAATCCCATTGGATTTCCTGGGTCTTCAGGAAGTTTCTGTAAGCCAGAAACCTGCTCTTACAGATCACACTGTAGAGAATTAGAATGCACTAAAGAAAGGTGTTAAGGAGAGTTGCTTTGTCTTTTAGCTTTTGCTTATTGTTTAAATCTAGTGCAAAAATATTTATTATACATTCACAATTTTAAAAGCCCCATTTATTATACACTTATATCCATAAGCTAACTCAATTCTCAACCAAAGAAAGAATATTAAGAAGAATGAGAATCCCACAACACATAATTGGTGCTTATGTGAAACCTACACCTAGACCAAGAAGCTATTGTCTGAACAGAGTAAGGGAACATTGTTATTGTCGTTGTTATGTGCCGTCGAGTTACCTGTGACTCATAGAAAACCTATGTACAATAGCTCTGAACCCTGATCTATCCTGAGCCAACCTCACCATCTCTGACACACCTACCCCCCATTACTCTAGTCACTGAATCAATCCATCTTGAGGGTCTTCCGCTCCTTCACTGTCCCTCCACCCTTCCAAGCATGATGTCCCTCACCAAGGACTGGTCCCTCCTTGCAACATGCTCAAAGTATATCAGACGGAACTTCAGAATCCTTGCCTCCAAGGAGCAGCCTGATTTCACCCTCTCCAGGACAAACCTGTTTGTTCTCTTAACGGTCCATGGTATATTCAATATTCTTCTCCAGAACCACAGCTCAAAGACATCAATTCTTCTATCATCCCTAGTCATTGTCAGCTTTCTGATGCATAGCAAGTAATTGCAAAGACCATGGCCTGGATCAGGCACACCTTAGTCTCCAGACTGACATTGTTACTCTTCAGTACCCTGGAGATGTCCCTGACAGTAGACTTTACCAATGAAATTCATCTTTTGATTTCCTGGTTATTGGTACCAAGATTGTTGATTGTGGAGCCATGTAAACTAAAGCTGTTAACAATCTCAATCTCTTCCCCATCCACCTTGATGCTGCTAATCAGCCGAGTGGTGAGAATCTTTGTTTTCTTGATGTTGAGCTTCACTTGCATGGTTTAAAATCAGGAAAGGTATGTTTCAGGGTTGTATCCTTTCTCTAAGCCTATTCAGTCTGTATGCTGAGCACGTAAGTCCAAAAGATGAACTATATGAAGAAGAATGTGATATCAATATTGGAGAAGCTTCATCACCAACCAGTGTTACACAGAGGACACAACCTTGCTTACACAAAGGGAAGGAGACTTGAAGCACTTACTGCAGCAGATCAAAGATGATAGCCATCAATATACATTACATCTCAACATCAAGAAAACAAAAATCCTTACCATGGCACCAATAGGTAGTATCCTCATAGATGGAGAAAAGGGTAAAATTATCAGTGACTTCAATTTACCTGGATCCACAATCAGTACTCATGGCAACAGTAGTCAAGAATTCAAAAGATGTGTTACATTTGGGAAAAACATGCTGTCAGGTGCTAAAGAGCAATGTTGTTGTTGTTGTTTTTGTTGTTGTTAAGTGTCATTGAGTCGTAGATGACTTATAGCAACCCGATGAATGAAAGACCTGAACACTTGTTTCATCGTTTCTCCACGTTCATAGAGTTTCCAGGAGGCAAGCTATTTTGGAAGTGGATGCCACTCCTGCAGTTTAAAAAGGAAGGTGTGTGCCTGATGCAAGCCGTGGTAGTTTCAGTTTCTTCTGATGTATCTGAAAGTTGGACATTGGATAAGGAAGACCAAAGAAGAATGAACACCTTTGATTAATGGTATTGGTGAAGTGTATCGAATACCCCAAGGACTGTCAAAAGAACAAACAAATCTGTTTGGGGGAAGTACAACCAGAGTGCTCCTTAGAGGCGAGGATGGTGAAATTCCTTCTACATATTTCTGTCTATTGTATGAAGCACCAGTCTTCGGAAAAAAAGATAGCATGCTGGGAAAGGCAGAGGGTAGGCTAAGAAGAGGATGGCCTCCAGAGAGATGGGTTGACACGGTGACTGTAAGAGCAGGCTGGAGCGTGGCAGAGATTGTGAGGTTGGCACAGGAGAGGGCACAGTGGATGAGGCAGCACCAGGTCAGAGGTACACGTCTTTATTTTAATATCCAAGTGTTCTTTCAAAAGATTGTATCCGTTCTTCTCGTTCACTAATGCATTCTTCTTAGAGTTATCTCAGAGAGGCCACCTCAGATAGAACAGGATCTGTCTCCCTTTCCTAGAGGACCTGGTTTATTTCTGAAGCAACTTTCTGCCTCTTCCACTATTGCCTGAACATTATCTTACGCAGAAGTGGTATGATTTTAACATTGGAACCCAACATGAGGAGGTCTTTTGTTCCTGAATGTGCATATGTTGTCTCCTACTTTTCAGAAAGCTATCTTGACAACCCCGGTTGTGGGGTTCGTAGACCAAGACTTCGAGCCGCAGCCTAACCCTGATGAGGTGAAGGATGTGTTCCTGGTGCCCCTGGACTATTTCCTCCACCCGCAAGTCTACCACCAGAACTACATGATGTTCTATGGAAACCCCTTCATCTTCCATTGCTTTGAGTACACCAGTCCTGTGAATGGCGTGACCTACGAGATCAAGGGAATGACAGCCAACTTCGCGGTGCTGCTTGCTTTAATTGTTTTAGAAAAAAGGCCCACCTTTGAGGTTGGATTCAATCTGGACGATCCAGTAACATCTTCTGAAGAGTCCTTGTTGAAGCTGTATAAGTCCATCACCAGCAAATTATGACTGAGGGGACCTACATCCAAGTACCTGCCCCAGAGATCTTCTTCATGTCCTTTTCCACACAACAGCCATCGTGCCAACAGTTTAACAGGTTTTAACAGGTGCAGGTATTCTTCCCGACACGTGAAAATAACACTCAGACTTTTTCCCAGTTGCCTTCTGTATTCTCATAGAGTGAAAAGTTTTTTGGAAGTGGAAATATGTGTTTATGTTGTTGCATGATTTCCCCTACAATCAATGTTTTCCTTATACACTTGAGAAATTAGTATATTGCACATGAAAAGCACTTAATAAATACTTGTTAAATGTATGACCATGTGGCATTTCTCTAATTCCTAAGAGGCAATATCTTTTTTCTGTCTGTTTTTACAGAAATTTCTGGCCATCCATCCACACCTACCCTCCCTTTCTCCTAAAGCAGTGGAGTTTAAGCTGAAGCCATAGTTCCCCAGTTAGAAATGACATTACCCAGAAGTCCTTGCAATTGGGAGTTACTCTCAGATTGTGTCAGTTCAGGTCATTGAGAGGTGTGTAAAAATTGTCTTTCAAGTCATCACCAATTTAGGAATAAGCCAGCTGCCCTGGAGCTTCCCCTTCTATGAACTGTGACATGGACTTGTCTACAACCCAATAGACCACACAGGTAAGGACAATTCCTCAAGGAGTGGGGGATGAAAATATGATAAGAGCATGGATCTCAAGGACACTAGGGAGCAGAGCAATCTACCAACCTGGATACTTGGGAGACAAAATTCCAGCATCCTTCTGCCCCTCTGGTCACGTGGACCACAGCGTAGCTATAATCCTAAATAGTACATGATGACCTTTGAAACAACTAGTGACTGTGCTACCACACTTGACATGTAGCCAGCTGCTAGAATCTAATATACTCTGACTTTACTATGGATTCTGTAATGTACAATAGAATGTTCTAGACAGTGGTGGACTTGGACCATCAGCCACCAACCAAATCCAAACCCACTGCTATCAAGTCCACTCCAACTCACGCCCACTGTGCTGGACAGAGTTAAACTGCCCACTAGGGTTTCCAAGGCTGTGCATCTATGGAAGCAGGCTGTCCACCTTTCTTCTGCAGGGCAGCTGGTTAGTGTTAACCACAGACCTCTGGGCTAACATCAAATACTGTAACCACTGCACCGTCACAGCTCCTAGTCATCCACCAGACCAACTGAAGTGAAGAAATGCAACAGGTGCATGGGGCAACCAATTATGTGAGAGAAATGTTACATGTGTCGGGGTAATAAAGACAGAAAAAAGAAACACCAGATTTCCAGCATGTGCCTCAGATCCAGAGCCATCGAGGCAAATAATCAGAGTTTTCTGCCTTGGCATGAGTTTGACCACTTCTTCCATGGCCATCTTCCCATACATTCAGAGTCAGGGATTTCTTTGTTTAATTAGGATACTAACCATGTCTGATCAAGGAAGGCTGGCTAGTAAATCAACACAACCACAATTCTGTGAGAGAATGCATAGAATTTACACTGCAAACTTCGAAACAGATTGCATCTCAATGTCAGAAAAACAAAAATCCTCACCATTGGACTGACAGGCAACATCATGATGGACAGGGAAAGGACTGAGACTGTCAACAACTTAGTGTTACTTGGAATCACAATCAGTATACTTGGTACCAGCAGTCAGTAGATCAGAAAATGTATTGTACTGGGGAAGTCTGCAGTCAGAGACCTCTCCAAATTATTGAGTAGCAATAATGTCAGTCTGAGGACTAAAATACACCTGATTCAGGCTTTTCAGTTACTTGCTACACATCTCAGAGCTGGACAATGACTAAGGATGACAGAATTGATGCCTTTGAACTGTGGTGTTGGACAAGAGTATTGAATATCTCATGAACTTCCAAAAGAATAAACATAGGTCTTGGAGAAGGTGCAGCCAGACTGTTCCTTGGAAGCAAAGGGCATGTTGCTTGGAGAGGTTATTCCTTGGAGAGGGAATGCTTGGGAAGGTGGAGGAATGGTGAAGGAGAGGAAGACCCTCAACTCTGTGGATTGACATAGTGACTACGGTAGTGGGTGTGAGTGTGTCGGAGATTGTGAGGATGGTGCCGGATAGGGCAGGGTTCAGATGAGTTGTTCATAGGATTTCTATGAGTTGAACTTATCTTGATGGCACCTAACGACAATTCTGTGATGGTGGTGTCACATCTTCCTAAGTCTTGTTAGTAGAATTTTTTAATTATTACTATTATTACTATTATTAATGCCCTTTATTTATGGGAAGGTGCTCTGATGGTACTGTGGCTTTAACATTCTGTTGAAATGAAAAGGTCAGCAGTTCAGACCCATCAAGCACTCCAAGGGAGAAACATAAGGCGTCTCCTCCCATAAAGACACCGCTTTGGAATGGGTGAAGGGACGGACTGTGGAGCACGAATGGTGGTCAGGCATTGGGTCAGGAATTATTATCATTCATGTTATGGAACAAGATATACATGAGTGACTAAGTGGGAAAAAACCCAACAAACCCACCAAAACCAATATGCTTTGTAAACTTTCACTCAAATCACAATTAAAAAAATATTACAGCCTTGAAAATCTTACAGGGCAGTTTTCTATCCTGCGGGGTCACTAGGAGCCAGGGTCCACCTGATACCAGTACTTGGCTTGACTTAGCTGTATTTATGAAAGCAGTTTTTGGTTTAGAGAAAAATTGTACAATAAGTACAGAGAGCTCCCATATGCCTCCCTTTTCTCCCTGTGAATAATTCTGCCTGTTATTAACATCTTGTTGGTATTCACATTTTAGAAAGCAAAGCCATTTTCAAGAATGCTTGGTTGGTGCTGAAAATGTGATGCCCACAATACCCCATCAATCAGCCAGGCATCCGTCCGTGGCTGCGGAGTTCTTTTCTGTGGGTTGATGGAGGCAAATAAACCAACTTTATAGAACCCCGCTTTATACCCACCATCGCTTAAACAGCACCAACCGAGCTCCAACGACGAAAGCAGATGTTGGGTAAGCGTACCCATTAACATTCTACAACCAGCCCTGCTTGAACAGGCCTAAACTGTTGCCTAACAATTATACGGGCATTTGTGAATGTGGATGTACAGTCTGACGGCGGTCTAATTACTGGGTAGGCTGCTGACCTCGCTGGCGTGTGGAAAGCCCCTTTCTGAACGACTGGTTTGTGCACATGCCACAGATCTGCCTGGTTTTGAGAAGACTGGCTCAGCTCAGGGGCTGGATGTTGAAGGAAGGAGGTATCACTCCCTTTTTCCATCAGTGGTGTATTTGGGGACAGAAGTCTCTGGATGATAGAGAAAAAGGGGTAGGCACTTAACTGTGAGTCGAAAGCTTGGCTGTTGGAGCCCATCCAGTGGCACCTTGGAAGAAAGGCCTGGCAATCCATGTCTGAAATGTCACAGCCTTAAAAACTATGGAACACAGTTCTGCTCTGCTGTCCCCTGGGGTCACCACGAGTATGTAATAAAAACCCTCACCCCCACCCCACCCACCCTCATCAAGACATAGTGATGGTCATAATGCTAACCAAAAGGTCAATAGTTCAAATCTACCAACCACTCTGAGAGAAAATGATGGATGTGTTCTCCTTTATAGATTTTTGTCTCAAACCCCATGGACAGTTGCAATGAGTCAGCATCGATTCAACAGCAGTGGCTTTGTTTTGGGGTTTTTATTATCTACCTCGTCCTTCACTTGGGATCTTTCATTTAACCCTCACCCTGCTTTTCTATACTGAGCACTGCTTTTCTTCCCATTCTCAGATCAGAAAACTGAGGGTTGGAGACGTTAACTCTTTTCCCACGGAAAAAGATGGGGTTCAGATCTGCTTCATAGGATCACTGTGAGTCGTACTCACCTCAATGGCACCTAACAACAGCAACAACAATGTCATGCAGATTATGAACAACACAGAGACAAGATCCAAACCCAAATGGATGGATCTCAAATTCCATGTCCGTTCTACGAGAGCCTTCCTCCTCACTCCAAGCCACAGCCTGCTTCATATAGATTTATATTCTCATACCGATTACATTTATGTTTCCTTGATCACCACGTGTGAAAGGGAAGGTGGTGCCAACTCGATAAATAGAGAGCAGAGTTTGTTTTTGCCTTAATCATGTCCTCCGGCTGATTCAGCTGGTGTTACACCTGGTGAGAGGAGTAATTAGCTTGAATGATTTTAATTAAAGTGGAATGTACCAATTAATAAATTAAAGTTGGGATACTTGCTGATTTAGCACCTCTGCTCCTGGTGCCAGCTTTCCAGTTACAGAACAGCGATGGGGAAACTTTCCTTCCTCCTTTGACAAGATGATTCAAGTTGTCTTCTTGTTTCCTGTTAGTTTCTGATCTGAGGATGGCATGAGGTTTTGATAAAATTGCTGAAGTGATCATCATCATCCAATGTCTTGAGTGTAACATGCTGCTTACGGTCCTAATAGGGAGCTCTGGTGTTTTAGTGGTAAGGAATTGCACTGCCAGCGTATGCAGTTCAAATCAACCAGCTGCTCTGCGGGAGAAGGAAGGGCAGTCAACTCCTGTGCAATGTACTGCCTCCGAAAGAAAGCCTGCTGGAGGGTCAGCTATGCGTCAGTTCCAGCTCCACAGCCCACAACAACAGTAGGATCGGAATTCTGGGCTGTCGCGCAGTCACCATGCAGCCACTGCTCTAGTTCTAGTCTATTGTTCAATACTACTCCTTCTGTAAGCATCAGTTCTTCTAATTATACACCATCAACTACCACCACCCCCTTACTCGGTGGAACCCTGAGGAAATGCATATACAAACTAGCTGCTGCTTCACTACCTGCTTTTGCTTTGCTGGGTCCCGTGCAGGTATCCCCACACTTACTCTCACCCTATCCCTGAAAAGAGTAGGTCCAGGGCCATACCCACCAGCCCAACTTCCCCTGGCATCAGGGGTATTGGACCTGGGATGCATGGATGGCTGCCCTAAAGGTAACCTCCTATTTTGATGACCAAGATCTGTA